CTGTGTTTGTGAAATGTTCTATTTTGTGTACTATGCATTGTAGCATATAAGTGTATGTACTTTACGTCTAAACAACTTATGTGATGGTGGTTTCCTATTTGTAGTGATGTTTGCCCTCTGAAGATGGTCCACAGAGACAGAAACATGTGAGGGTGTTAAGTTTTCATGTAGTAAAAAGCTTACAGGTCACATTGGACGGAGTGATTTATATTTGTATCTCACTATATTTTATAACATATTATAGTATAATGATGGAAATGGATAAGAAAGGTAATGGCTTCTCAAGAAATAGATATACCACACTTTCGATCTCAAAATGGAATTTTGTAATTAATTCACTGGGAAATGTTTGAGTTAGCCGTAAATGTGTAAACCTTTGCTTCTTGTACTAAAGAATTTAGTGGTGATCGAATACCATCCACAGCGACACGTTCTCCCTTGTTAATATTTAAGCATAGAAGCCAAAAAATTCACTATATAGGGTCCGCATAAAATTAAATGAACTGTATTTTCAACACAGGATTTAAGTATAAAAATCACAAGAAATTACATTTTACTTGTGCGATTAAATTGCGAATAAGGATTCGAATTGTATCTGCGCGTTGTACACCAATGCTTCTGCATCGCTGTGAAACATTGGCTGTCAGTCGGCCAAATTGCTACTGGTCCTCGCCAACACAGTCGTTCTTGGTTTCAAGCCCCATCTGGACACATGATCTAATTCATGTTCGTTCCAAGAACTTTCTTTTGTTAGGAAATGGGGTTTCCTCTTCGAAGAGAGGAGGGGTTTCTCTTTCTGAGTAGGCGCCATATTTGTTACACCTTAATTTCGCACGAGTGTACCCGCGTTCACGCAGCGTCCTTGTGAGGGCATTTGTATTTTATAGACACCATGCGCCCGTTGTCACTTTACTATAGCGAATAGTGTTCATTCAAGATATGCACAGGTAAGGTGAAAAGCAAAGTTATTTCTGTAACAGGCCGTGAAAGTCCATAAGGTTCTGAGACGTCGATGCTCCCACATTTTCTAGAAAATCGGCTCACAGATGACGGTGAGATTGTCAGCTTAACGCGCCGGCCGCCCTTTATTCCCAGGAAGATTCCTGGTACTCATTTCTGTTAGAGGCTGAGTCGACCCCAGAACCATAGTGTAGCTGGAAGAAGTAGGTCAATTGAAAAATCCAATGACCTCATCGGCAATCGAACCCGCGACCTTCCGGCTTGTAACAGAGTGCCTCAACCAACTACGCTACCGCGTGCCCACCAAGATATGAGCGGTACATCTGCCAATGCAGGCTTCTGAAACAACTACTCCCAGTTGGTTGTCACACTTCCTTGCAGGCCCGTACAGGAAATTGCTATTTTTTGGTGTTCTTTATTCGGTCCGCTGTAGAAAAAAGAAAATTGAATGAATAGCGACATAATATTGACAGCAGGAAATGTACATATGTATGCATTATAAGAGATTGAGCTCTGCCAATAGAGCTTTTGGCGGCCAATATCCAAGTAAGAGTAGTTCATAGCAGAAACAAGGCGTTCCTTGCAGGATGGATCGTCCCATTCCCCACTACACATATTTAGTCCAGAGTTTCTCGAGCAGTATGGACCGCCTCTGTGGTCTAGTGCTCAGAGTTCCTGGCTACAGATCCGAAGATCCCGGGTTCGATTCCCTGCCCTACCAGATTTTCGGAGAAGTAGTGGGTCTGGAACGGGGCCCACTCAGCCTAGTGAAGATAATTTAGGAGCTACTTGAATGAAGAAATAGCGGCTTCGGTCTAGAAAACCGAAATTAACAGGCGTGGGGATTCGTTGCGTTGACCACGCAATACCCTCTATCTGCTATAGTTGTCACTAACTTCGACGACAAGCGGAGGTTTCCCGGTCAGTATAGTTCGCTTGCGGATTAAAGCCAGGGAGTGTGTTTTGTTTGTTTGATTCTCGAGCAGTGCCTTGCCCATATGTTTTGTGCAGTCCACGTACGTTTTTATGGTATTTTTATCACGTCTGTTAACAAATTTTGTTAAATGTTCAATTTAAGTGAACAATTAATAAAATAATACCTAAGCTGACAAGCTCAATGAAGACGATTCCTTTCTGAAAACCCAATAGCCGCTCGGCTAATCAAGATATTCTGCCCATTTTGTCAAGCCCAGATTTCATTTCTTAGTTTACAGCAGCCAGCCGTTGGCCACTATCCTGAGTAATATGTATACAAACTCAACAAATTAAAAAAAAATTGATTGATGTGTGAATTTANGAATTTATGTGCCATACACAAAGATTTATTTACAGTTCTATTACATTTCCATGATGTTTCCATAAATTTTCATTTATAAGCCACCTACCCTCAGAGTTCTTAAGAAAGAGGGAATGAATCCTCACGTCTCAAAAGGTGGACAGCCTCCCTCTTTTGTGGCACAGATCTTTTGTTGTAATTCCGAATTTAGGGAATGGAAGTTAAAATCTAGCAATAAAAGGTAATTTAAGTCGTGTGTCACTATACCGCACTTGCGCACAGGTGGAATCGTAGTGGAGTCAGATTTTATTTTAATGTTTATAATTGTAAATAACTTACATATAATAATTAAATTAAATTCTTTTTTTATTTTGTTCTTATTCGCCAGGCCCAAGGCCAATTATAAAGTAAGCACGAGCACGAAAAAGCAGAACAAACAAAAACACACAAACAAAAGACATAATACTGCAACTTGTACAATTTAGACAACAACATTTCAATTAGTGCAATAATGCTAATCATTTCGCTGTGAAAAAAATATGTGTACTTATATCCATCTTGAATACAATTATTATTTTAATAATTAAGAAAATTCATTTTATTCATAAGTGGCCTTACAAGTCTTTGTTGGGCCCTGGCCTCTTCTTCAGTTTCCTAATCTTTTTTTACACAGTCGGTAGGACTCCTTGGACGAGTGATTAGTCCGTCGCAAGGCCGCTACCTACACACAGGACAACACAAACAGAATAGACGCACACACAGATATTCGTACCTTGAGTGGGATTCGAACCCACGATCCCAATGTTCGAGCGAGCGACGACAGTTCATGCCTTAGACCGCGTGGCCATCGTGATCGGCAATTAAGAAGATATCATTATAAAATATGACTAAGAGAAATATTTATAGTCCAAAATATGACAGTGTCCATCAAACAGAGCGCAGCTAGCAGAAGGATAATTTTTCTTTAAGAGCAGCTTTTGAGCACAGAAGCTTCTGGTTAACAGATTAGGTACTGGAAGAGCAAAAGTTTCTAAAAGGGAAGAATATAATTCAGAAATAATAATAACAATAATTATTATGATAATACGTGTAATAATAATTCAACTATTTACTTATTTACATGGTTACTCAGCAACCCAAAGACCAAGTATATAGTATTTTTTAATTCTCTTAGTGGAGGGTGGAGTCCTACTGGGTCCACTCGGCACGGCCGCCACTGATTGGTCTATTATAGCCTGCCCCGGGTGATTATGATGTTGGAGAATTTGGTGGAATGAAGAGTGGCAGGGGAAACCGAAGTACTTGGAGGAAACATGACCCAGCGCCACTTTGTTCACAACAAATCCAACTTTACCAGACCCGGGATCGAACCCGGGCCGCCGTGGTGGGAAGCCAGCGACTAACCGCTTGAGCTATAGCGTGACCTAATTATATAGTAAGCAAATGCAAAACGGTAACAAAACAAACAAGGTCACTAGAACAAAGACAAAACAAAGCAACTTGTATCACTTAGCAACAATTTATTTGGTGCAGTCATACTAACCCTGAATATATATATATATATAAATTAACACAGAGTAAAGTTCATATTTTAATAATTAATAATTAACTACAGATCATAAAATATGATTAAGAGAAAAGTTTTGTTTCTGAGTAAGTCAACATCTCTACAAACAACATCAGCTGCTGAAGCTCGCCTAGAACAATAATAATAGTAACTAAATTCATTGAAGTTCGTTATTTGTTTACGTGCTGAGCTCGACAGCTAGTGGCCAATTACAGAATCAGTACGAATAATAACAATAATAATAATAGTGACAATTAAATATATCAATTTATCTGCTATAAATTTAAATCCTCCCTCGTACCTCTCTCTTCATCCGCAACAGTGACCCTACACTGTGTCATGTGATGCTTCGTAAGGTCAGAAGTTGATGCAACCTTATATTGTAGCGTGTAGACCCGTTGCTAAGTAATGACTCTGTAAACAACTTGCGTTGCTAGGTAATGGCCCCAGCAGATACCTAACACGCACCGATGAGTAATTGGGAAACGGCATCCCCTGCGCGGTCCATGCTACGGCTACGTCACGCAACAATAGAAGAGCTATTAGGAGGCTTGTTTTCTGTGCGATCCGTGCAGAGGTGTTATAAACAGGACAAGTCTAGTATTTAATCAGTTCTTAGACAGTTGCCAGCCAGTAAGGACGTAAACACGGAAGTTGAGGGATCTAAGGCGTTGGAAGACACAGCAGTCTGAGAAAAATTAGTACGTGGTGTAGTGACCTGAGTGTGTGAATTGGCGACAACACTATAGTTACTTGTAGTTATGTTCTGTAAGTTTTCAAAAAATCCAGGTACCAATCGTAACCCCGTCTGTAGTCACTCCATCACGTGACAATATAATGGTATAGGCAACAACGAAAGGGCGAATTGACACAGAACGTTGATTGAGTCTTAGATTTTGTTAATGGCGTTTTTCTTAGTACAGTGACTTATACTTACTTATACTCATAGAATGAGATGACAAGATAGTAATGGATTTTTTAAGCATGCGGTTGTGGCGTCTTAGTATTCTGGCGTTCGCCTGATTAAGTATTCAGAATAGCCTATAACCCGGTCTACTCACCCAGATAGCCGATAGTGGCCTGGAGGATAGCCGAGACGGCTATGGCACCTGACAGCTCCCTCATTCGTATCTGCCATAGCTCTGTTCTGTTCTCATGAGACATTGCTTCCAGCACTTCTGAGTCTGGACAACGCCACTGTGGCAAATTGAGAATGGCCAAAGTGGGAACTAGGAAAGAGATTGTGCCTCCTTGCACAATAGGCAACCTGCAATGAGAATATCATGGGATTAACGCAGAACTTAGTGCTATTTGTATCATTATACTCGTAGGTCAAACTCTTAACACCATGGATCAGTTCTTCTTGAGAAGCTGACAGTCAATCACGTGGTCGAGAAATTCCTCATCTTTTACGGAACGCGAAGATTCATAACCATGTTCACAAGAGATCTCAATTAGTCCCTATCCTGAGCCAGTTGGATCCAGCTGAAATCTTTATACCTTGTTTCCAAAAGACCCTTTCAATATTTTAGTTTCAGACAATCCGAGACTCCCAGATGGTCTCTTCTCATATTTTATCTGATATATTTTATTAACTTTGCATCTTCATGTCTCGCCCATTTCATCCTCCCTATTAATATATCTTAAAATGATACAAATTATGAACCTACTTATTGTAAATTTTCTACGGGCCCTTACGCGTTTTCTCATAGTTCCAAATATTCTCCTCAGCATCCTGTTCTCAACAAATCGCAAAAATATTCTTTCTTCAACATAAGAGACTATTAGGAAAATATGCCATGTTAGGTGACTTCCATGTCACCACGGCATGGCGCGTCCTCAGGTTGCGGTTGAAGGAGACGACCTCCAGATATGGAGATTAGCTGCGAATATATTGAATAAGCAGTCGCGGACAGCCGACAAAGGGTGATCCTCCAGCATGGCTGTTGGGCGTGGGGCTAACAACACCTCGCCGTAAGAAGCGAAAAAAATGGATATGAAATTTGGTACTTGGGTTGTTAGAAGTACATCGGGCAGGTTCGCTCAGGGCAGTGGCGGAAGAAATCTCAAAATATCAGTTAGATTTAGAGGGAGTACAGGAGGTCAGATGGGACGGAGGTGGCACCGAATTAGCAGGCGAGTATACATTATTCTATGGAAAGGGGAATAAGAATCATGAATTAGATACAGTTTTTCGTACATAAGAGAATCATAATCTCAGCAGTTAAGAAGGAAGAATTTGTTAGTGATGGGATGTCATACATTATATTAAGAGGTCACTGGTGTGATATCATCGTTCTGAATGTTCATGCCTCAACGGAAGATAAAACTGATGATACGAAGGACAGGTTCTACAAAGAACAAGATCATGTATTTGATAAATCCCCAAAATATCATATGAAAATTTTGTTAGCAGTCTTCAATGCCAAACTACTTCTCTCACTTAATGAACGTATATAGGGTCAGTGCTGTTAGGCAGACAGAAATCCATACAGCTGAGCCGTTAGTACCTGATCCTAGCCCTTCTGAGTGTGAAATCGCTATTGCAAAATTTGAAAGGTATAAATCATCGATTCGTAATCAATTTCCGGCTGAAATTATTCAAGCAGGAGGAGAAATATTACGTTCTAAGGTCCATAAGATAATTAATAGGGGAAAATTGGCTGATCAGTAGAAGGAGTCTATTATTGTACCAGTTCACAAGAAGGGTGATAAAACTGACTGTAGAAATGATCAGGGGATATCACTGCTATCAACTTCATACAAACTTTTATACAATATTCTTCTCTCAAAGTTAAGTCCTTACACAGATGAAATTATTTTGGATCATCATTTAGTATTTCGACGTAACAGACCAACTACTGATCAGGTCTATTGCATTTGTCAGATATTGGATGAGAAAATGGGAGTGCAATGAGATATTACATCAGCTATTTATGGAATTCAAGAAAGCCTGTGATTCAGTTAGGAAGGAAATATTGTACAAATTATGATAGAGTTTCTGGTAACCATGAAACTATTTAGGCTGGTTAAAATATGTTTAAACGAAATGTATAGTAAATTCCGTATAGGTAAACATTTGTCTGATAATTTTCCTATCGAGAATGGTCTGAAACAAAGAGATGTTTTAACGCTACTGCTTTTCAACTTTACTTTAGAATATGCCATTAGGAAGGTCCAGGAAATCCAGGTGGGACTGAAATTGAACGTGACACTACAGCTGTTATTTTATGCTGATGACATGAATCTACTGGGTGATAATATAGATACCGTAAAGAAAACATAAAAGAATAAAAGTATTCCTGTAACAGGGCGTGGAGGCCCATAGGGTTGTGAGATGTTGATGTTCCCACATTTTCTAGGCAATCGGGTCATAGATGGCGGCAAGGTTGTCAGCCCTACGCGCCGGCCGCCCTTTACCCCCCAAAAACATTTCAAGAATATTCCTGGTACTCATTTCTGTTAGAGACTGAGTCGATCCCAGGGCCAAAGTGCGGCTGGAAGGATTAGGTCAATTGAAAGAATCCAATGGTCTCATCGGGACTTGAACCCGCGACCTTCCGGCTTGTAGCATAGTGCCTCAACCAAATACGCTACCGCGTGCCCCTCCCTGAAGAAAAATATAGAAACTTTAATTGACGCTAGTAAGGAGGTTGGTCTGGAAGTAAACACAGAGAAAACTAAGTATATGTTGCTGTCTCGTCATCAGAATGCAGAGCAAAGTCATGAAATAAAGATGGCTTACACATTTTTCTAAAATGTGGCGTAGTTCAAATATTTGGGAACGACAGTAACAAATCAGAATTTGATTCAGGAGGAAATTAAGAGGAGACTTAATTCGGGTAATTCTTGCTACCATTCAGTCCACAACCATGTCTTCTTGTCTGCTGTCTACAAACATAAGAATTTGAATACAGAAAACTATAATTTTTCTTGTGATTCGGTATAGGTAAGAAATTTGGCCTCTGACATTAATGGACGGACATACACTTACGTTGTTTGAGAACAGGGTGTTGAGGAGAATATTTGGACCGAAGAGAGATGAAGTGACAGGAGGTTGGAGAAGACTGCATAATGAGGAGCTCATAACTTGAACTCTTCTCCAAGTTTAATTAGAATGATCAAGTGAAGGAGAATGAGATGGGCAGTGCATGTAGCACGAAAGGGAAGAGGAAAAATGCATGTAGGATATTGGTGTGAAAGCCGGAAGGAAAGAGACCACTGGGAAGACCAAGACGTAGGTGGGTGGACAATACCTTTTGTTTCTCATAAAATGCTTGGAAATTCTTGAGCAGCTACACAATTGGTGGCTTCTCAAGAGGGGCTCAGCTCTATGGGTCAGTTTAAGGAAGTATATTTTTCCTGGTATAAAGTCCATTGAAATATGAGCGGAAAATTCAACAGTCCTGTGTCTGGCTGCGGTTTCCACAGACTACCCTTCAACTGAAACAATCTTATAAATTCTAGTCCTTGAGGGACAATTTAAAATCGAATTTTCACTGAGAGTGGACGCTGTAAACTTAAATGTGTGACAGAGTAAGCGACGCTGCTACGTAGCGATAAATTTTTCAACTAAGGATGAGACTGCAGTACTGACCGTACTGACTGAAGCATGTATACTTTCTGCTGTCGCCTATTGCTGCCATCTGCTGGTCATATCTGTAATCATTACCAACTGTGATTACTCACAATCACATATAACGACAAAATACGAAGCCTTAGGGGGCCAATACACGTACGAGTCTGGCTCGCGAGTCCGACTCGCCTCGGGTTCCAAACTTTGCACTAACACAACCACAATTTTTCAGTTTGAGTTATACTGCCAAATTAGTTACTTTCACTTTCTTAAGGAATCACTCATTAATACTACGGGTTTCTTGTGTTATTCGAGTCTTCCAGTTTGGCTTCTAAGTTAGACGTCCCTGATATATACGTATTGGCTGTTTTGTAGTACACTCAGTCTCACATGTCACTTCACTACATGTTTCGGCATCACTGTGCCGTCCTCAGGTGCGTTATTTACGCTAAGCTATTGCATTGCTCGCCATCATGTGTCGTTCATAAAATTATTTAAAATGTACATTCTTCATCAACTATAATAAAATTTGTATACGCTAAAACTTGTTAAGATTTATCATCTTATACGTCTTAATTCAAACTCGCGTATTGTATGATTCTTCCACTATGGGAGTCATTTTTCTTGTATTTTGTGTATACTGTGTCATGTGATGTGTCCTTCCTTTTTGGCTGCGAGCGTTGTAATGTTGGGTGTGTGTGTGTCTTCGTACTGAGTTATGACTTGTATAAAATTTCACAATGAGCAAGTCGTGACTGTGACGACGTGGAGCATGTTTGCGTCCGCAAGCATCAAAAGTTGAATGACAACTAATTTTGTCTAATGAGCTCTCCGTAGCACCGATCTTCTTCGAGCCAGAATTCCCAAGAGGAAGCTTCTCCCTGAAACAAGCCTTATTGGTCCAGTTCAAAATTTGGGAGTCCACCAGAAATTTAAATTTTCCCATGATAAAGATTTGCTGCTGAATCATGCTGTATTGTCAGCTTGACTTGGGTTCATGGCTGTCAAACTTTTAGTCTATAGCTTGCACTAACTGTCAAATCTTAGATTACTAAAGATATGTCACTGAAGCTAATATATCTAGAATTTCAGGAAACGTATCGGCTGTTACATACTGTTCCACACAGCAAGAATGAGTTTGTGTTACTTTCTGAATGTAAAAATGTGACTATCTGCTTATTCCTTGTACTAAATTTCTCTTAATTAACATAATTTATATTAACACTAATTCTAGTGAACCGTCACATATATAGATCTGATTATTATGAGATTTATATTTTGTCATTGACCAATTTATAATATATGTATAGTGAGCCAGACTTTGGAGAGTCAGTAAATTTTGAGTTGAAGCTCAAATAGTACGGTAATGTCCGTTTTAAAAACAAATATGTCAATTTTTTTAAAAATAGTGAAAAGGATTATTGGAACTTTAAAGTAATATTATTCTGTACTTAATACAGTTAAGTCCATCCGTCAGGACTTGTATTAGGGCTTTTCAAGTTATGCTGCCTTATAGTCTGGTAGGTGGTTACACTTTGTAACAGACCGGAAGACCACATTCCAAAATGGCCACTGTCCTCAAACTCGCAGATATAGCACTGGAGTATAATGATCAGATGTAATAAATTTTATGTATTTACTTACTCATTTACTTACTTTATTTACTTTTCTATTTATTTACTTCTATTTATTTACTTGCTGCTTATTTATTTACTTGATTAACTACGTATGTCAATACCTGCATCCGAAGGTGGACTGCAGCCATGTCACAATCCCTGTCACAAAGATCATGGTGCATATGATATGGCTTCGAGCAGGGTCGTCATCTTTCATGCAGAGCGCAGGCGTCAGGATGAATGGGATGGATACTATGGCACCTATCATCGTCAGATAGTGCTGAAAGAATGAAAATGTTAGCTTCACACTTAATAAAATCCTAACATATTTAAATATATTTTTATTTTTAATATTTCATGAAGTTGAGACTAATATGTAGTTCATTATGTTGTTTGGAAATGGTGTCGAATTTGTGATTATTTCTTGGCCGATGTTTCGGATTTCACAAGAAAGTAATGGGAAAGAAGAAGAAACTGGTCTTATGCGATTTCGGATTTTTAACCTTTGCAGTTGCATAGCGTCTTTAAGTGCCTAGGAATTAATCTTCCTGCGAACGGAAGGGTAGATGTGCAAGGGCGCCATCACCTCACCTGGAGCGCCATGAAGATACAAAGATACCAAGGTGGAATATCGTCAATGCCATATGTGATGTCTGCCTTCCTCCTCTCCCTTTCCTGGCAGCTGCGAGGGGTACCGAGGTCATTCTTCGGTTCGACATCCTCCCCAGCCCCAACAATCTGCAATATTATTAGATGAAATTTGCTGAATTGCAAGAACATAATACAATTAATGGTCTGTATATGCGAAGCCAAGTATCCTGGGTTTGCTGGAAGACACCTGAAAATTATAATTTATTTATTAGAAAGATTACTGCTTTTACATATTAAAGGCCGAATCCTTCAGAATCGCCGTTCTCTGTACGTTGTGTAGAACTTCCAATGGAGAAATCGAATGGAGAATGGTTCTTTGTTTAGAATTCCCCTCTCGGGGGTTCAGGAAGTTGGTAGGGATTGTGGGACTACTGTGAGGGACACAGTAAAAATTCTTGATAGAAAACCAGACGGATAAGATAAGAGAAATATGGGTAGCGAAGTTATGGTGCCATGATTTTTAGATTGTATAGTTGGCCGCGCCATAGCTCAAGCGGTTAGTCGCTGGCTTCCCACCGCGGCGGCCCGGGTTCGATCCCGGGTCTGATAAAGTGGGATTTGTGGTGGACAAAGTGGCGTTGGGCCGGGTTTTCTCCGAGTACTTCGGTTTCCCCTGCCAATCTTCATTCCACCAATTGCTCCACAATCACCCTCACCTATCATCTGGGGCTGGTACAATAGGCCAGAAGTGGCCGCAGTACAAGGGACTTAGTCCCACCCCACTAGCAATATTAAAAAAGATTGTATAGCTCAAAGTATATAGTAATTTGGGTAATGCATTGGTGTACGGAAGTTGAAATGGAAGCATGAAATATGGATTTCCTATTGCAATGAAGGAAGTTATGATGGGCGAGATATATAGCATGAATGGGGAGATGAGGAATTCATAAGACGTTTTATCCGAAGATTTGAAGAGACGAATTTGTGAAGATTTATAATGTGGTTTCGGAGAATAATAAATTATATACCTTAAATACCAAAATTATGATGCTGTGGACTTCAGTCCGCTGCCCCAGTAGAGCGTCGCTTCTGAACGCCGCAGTGAGACTTGGGATTGATTAACGGGCGCTGAATTTCTTGATCAGCTGAGCGAGTGTCAGCTTCTAAGGAACTCAGCAAGTAGGCTGTATATTGCTTTGCAGCAGTCTAACAGAACCCTACATTACTTCAGAAACCCTGAATAGTAGTACTTTCTAGGATGTAATGCCGTGGAGTCCGGTAGAAGTTTACTGATAATTCTTAGGCATTTGTTGCCTCCATCGTCAGGGTAGAAGCGTAAGCCTAGCGAGAATCTAACAAGAAGGAGGCTCGTTTATCTTCTCTAGCTGCCCCTATATCTTAAATGTCAGGGTGCTGGAACACCTTCGCTGCAGACCTTGGATTTGACTCTCTACTAGAACGGCGAATTCTGACGTGTTACACTATATTACATATATTCATATGTAAAAATTGCGGCGTGTGTGTGTGTGTGTGTCTGTGTGTGCAACATTTGTCTCTTCCTGCCTGATTTCATTTCATAGCGCCAGAGTAGATTTTAAGATCATGGGAATAGTATGTCTGTCCATCCGCTGCCTCGCCCGTCCGGAATCAAGGCATGATTGGTGGATTTCAGTTAACTGCTAGCGGCTATACCGAAAGTTGGCAGGAGAGACCCATATAGGCCTATTTATATGCAGAAACAATTTTGGTCGGGCAATCGAAAGGGAAGAAACTGCTTAGAATACATAGACGCAGGTGGGAGGATGCTACTGAAATGGATCAAAGAACTAGTGTCGACTGAATTCATCTGATTCCTGAACTTCTCGGGGGGGGGGGCGTTTTGAAAAAGGTGATAAACGAAAATTGCTGTGTAACGCCGTGCAATCCGGTAGAAGTTGATCGTTGTTACGGAAGAAACATACTGGCTCCATCTTCAGGATGGAAGCGGACTTCACGGCATTGCATCCCAAAATGTAGCACTCTTCGTAGTCACAGCTGTGAAAACTTCAAATCGAACAAGTTAATAAACTTTTCGGTTCAATATAAGATGGAATTGAATGACTATTAATCTCTGAAAAATGACTCTGCACCGTGTTGTTCGTGACAGAGGTAGGGATAAAACCCAGAACCCCATGACTACTAACTATGCATGCTGCTGGTCTAGCCGTCTGTTTCGTTTTCGCCACATATACCTCGGGCACTGGGCAATGCTCAGTATACTCGTAATTTTGGCGTTTTCTGTTTCAAACTGCCATATAAGAATTTTCCACGCAGTTAGCATAAATGTGTTATTTCATCGTCACGATGTAGGAAATGTTTAACGCTTATAATACGTCAATTATTTTTCTGCTTCTCACTGTTCATTACCACTAAGCGTTTAATTAACATGGGCATGAATGTAAAGCAGGAGTGAACAGACTTATTAGTCAAAAGTTCTTGTCTGGAGACTTTTTGACATCTCGTAATATCTGGAGAAATCACAGCCTATAGACCTATTCATTCTTACTAGAAATTATCCTCTGATTAGAATTTGCTGACACTTTTATGCTAATTCTCATTACATAAATAATCTATCTGCGCTTGTCTCTTTCAACTTTGGGGCAGCATATGCCCGAGGTCAATAGTCTGCCGTCCTTGGAGTAAAGTATAAAGAATTTAACTAATGACGTATTCTGCGGTCCTTAACCCCTGAGTGGAACCTATAATCGATCGTGCAGTTGTGCTGGGTCAGTGTTCCCGCATCTTCCACATCTCGGGACTTCGTAGTTTCGAACCCCGACAAATATACTTGTATTTTCACATCTGTGTGTTATTTATTATAACATTAAAACATATTTTACTTCACTGAATAAATTTAATTTAGGTTCTCAAGAAGATGATTATAGTTATGTCACCTTATGCTCTCTGAAAGTCTCCTTTTGACTAGAACCGTGAAACTGAAATAAAGGGTGCCCACTCAGTTTCAAAGTAGTTCTTAATAGATATGAATATTGAAAAATAAATATTGTTTTCCGAGTTTGATTAAAATGGCATTGAATGGAGACATCTTGCGTCGCTGATCTAGCATCCAAGAGGCCAATTATAGATCGAGTAACAATACAAAGACAACAAATAAACGAACATGAGAAACACAATGTCAGAAAATACATCAAGTGGGTGAGTAGGTTCAGAGAGACGTTGGTATCGAGGGTCATTTGTGCGTGAACAGAACAACAAACATAAACAACTAATATCAACTAACGTGATTCTAAGATATCAGTGGACATAACAGACTAAATTAGGAGAAAAAGCACGTCTAGCTGAAGGACAGCGACTGGAGGAGCAACTGATCATAGGAAAATACCTGTTTTATAAGCAGAAAAAAATCTGTTGTGACAAAGTGTTGGAAATTTTCTTTGTATGCGCTGAAGTTAGTAAAGGCAATTGAGTTCCATGTGACTGAAGCATACTCACTCTTGGACCTTACCAAATGGAAATACAGCATAAAGAAGAATGTACTATGGAAGAGGGAAAATTAATAGTACGAGTACAAATTAAACGAAACAATTTCTTCTAATGTAGAAAAAATCGAAATGATTAAATCAAAATCAACACTTCAATCAATATGAAAACCCAAATCTCCAACACAGCCACTTCGTAGTGCAAGAGAATTTCCAAAAATATGTTTATAATTTATCATATTTGTTTTTCTGGGAAAGAAATAACTGTAACTTTACTAATGTTAAGCTTCATGAAATGTAGTCGAATATCAATTTCTTACGCAGTTAATATGTAATTTTAAAGTACAGTCGCTCATGATGTAAGAGCTCGAAATTCTTAAGGTTGTCAGCTAAAAGAGGGCAATTTGAATGATTCATTATGTCAAATAAATCACTAATAAAATGTCAAAAAACAGTGGATCCGTAACTGTCTTGCTGAGTGCCTGATGATGTAACAAAAAAGAACGAAAGCATATCAGAAAAACGTACAAAGTGCTCTGATGTTTCAGCAAGTATAACCAATTTATGTATTCTGAAGAACATCCATAAAGATTAAGCTTGTTTTAAGCAGTCTGTATGGAATAATGTCAGAAGCATTACTTAAACAGAAAAGAATAAAAAAGTGTGATTAAATTGGTCATAGTGAATTTCACTTTGGTAGAATTATGTTGAGAAGAATCAAGCTTAGACTTCAAAAAGTGAGAAATGCTGTCATGTGTAATGAATCCAGAAACTTCCCAAACAAATATTAAGACTATATAGTGGCCTGTGATTGCTAATATACGAAAATATGCTTATGTGGCCAGAAAACAAAGATTTAGTAAACATTCAGTCTACTCAAAGAGAAGAAAATAAACTGACATTGTAATCAAATTAGTGAAAAAACGACAAATTAAGTAGGTGCAGGAACAAAATGATTGGTTTGGCGTAAAGAAAAGTATCCTCTCTGCCTCCTCTATAGTGACATAGCTATTGCAGCCACAGGTTGGATGGCAGGATTTCGATCCCCAACAAGGACAAGGATTTTCTCTTCACCACCGCGTCCAGACTGGGTCTGGAGCCACCCAGCTTCTTACTCATGGCGTATTGGAGAATCTATGCCCTGGGGACGAACTGATCAGTCAGCTCTATCTACAGCAGTATCTAGGTTAAGAGAACGTGGAGCTAATCCTCCACTCTCTCTCTCACGCACAATATAAAAGTAGCCTTCCGCACACGAAACACAGTACGAAATACATACATTAAAGCCTCGGCCACAAATAGATACATACAATAGAAGTGGCGTCTATCAAATGAAGTGCACGGATTGCCCACTAAAATACTTTGGACAAACTGGTAGAACATTCAATATCAGATATAAGGAACACATACGTGACATTAGAAGTAGCAACAGTAGCTCGGGATACTCAGACCACATATTGAATACGGGACATGCATACGGAACGATAGCAGATACCATGGAAATTATAACAACAGGGAAGAAGGGGAAATATTTGAATACACTGGAATGGTATCATATTTATCAAATCAGTATGGAAAATCTACACATGAACGACACACATGTTGATACAAATAACCCTATATTCGAAACATTGCACGAAATTTACGCGGAATAACATTACATCCCTCTCCTCACCGCCCCCTCCCCCACTCCATGGTCTATAGACGCGGAAGACAGCACGCTGACCGCCTCTTTCGTCTAATGGTCAAAGTTCCCGGCTATAGATCCAGAGGTCGATCGGTGTAGTTCCCTTGTGGACTATAGGCTACGGACTTTGTCTTTTTTTGTTTTGTTTTGTTCTTAAAGAAAGCATGTGTCAGACAACTAAAGAATCACACAAGTGGTAAATAATAATTAAAATGCTGTTGGCATCATCACTACGGAAATCTTCGCACATGTCTCTCGAAACTTGATCAAGACCAATGCTTACATGTAGTCAGGACAATATTTTTGAACACTAATTTGTGCTTTATTTCGAGCGAGATGTGAGGTACAATGTTTCCTATTGTACGTACAGCTTTAAGTGGATCGTTCTGTACATTGCCATCATAATAGCTAGGCCTCGCATCCTCATAGTTTCAGACAGTTCTGACAAAACTTTTCTGAACTTGTTTCATAGGTATGCAAGTAGGTGTATTTTGGCTGCTTGTTTTGAAAATGAAACATGTTTAATCGGTTTATGATATACAAGTAATTTGCATTCCACGATATTCTGGCGTCATTCACATTTCTTATCCACATATTATGAATAGAAACAATACATCGCAAACACCGACTGTTCGCTCGTCCATGAGATATAAAATTAGGCCTGTGTAACCCGGCAAAACATGTTCTTACCCGTCGTACTTGAAAACGCTCGAAGATTCTTTGATACGGTAACCCGAAGTAGGGAATTATGGCTGCTTTCGTAAGCCTGATAGCTTTTGTGTGTGGGGGGAGGGTTATTTTATTTATTTTAGATTCTCTTAGTGGGGGAAGGAGTCAAACTGGGTCCATTCGGCACGGCGGCCACTGATTGACCTATTGTAGCCTGCCCCGGGTGTTTATGATGGTGGAGAATTTGGTGGAATGAAAATTGGCAGGGAAAACCGAAGGACTCCGAGAAAACCCGCCCCAACGCCACTTTATCCACCATAAATCCCACTTGACCAGACCCGGGATCGAACCCGGGCCGCCGCGGTTGGAAGCCAGCGACTAACCGCTTGAGCTATGGCGCGGCCTGGGAGGAGAGTTGCGTTTGTTCTTAAAGTGAGTAGACAGAAAGGTGCACACAATTTTATATACTGCGATTATAAGCAAAACCTCCATTAAAGACTGCTTGTTGGCTTTTTCGACCCTGATGTATCGATTTGTGCAAAGCAGAAAAATAGGTTAATGCGGGTTAACGCTCGACAGTTCGTTGCTGTGTGAGATCAGAATACGTAATATCTCAGCTTTCATAAACTTTATCGTAAACAAATCATATTCCGAAAGCAGGCCATCGATATTTCTCAAACCTGGGACCATATACCTTCACAGTTTCTTCCATTCATTCACAATTCGAATATCAAGGAAAAGCTTAGAGAAGTCTGGGTATATATATTAAATGCCTAATATATGAGTAAAAATATTTATATGAAAATAAGGAGCTAGCACATTTTTTTTTAATAAATGTATATTAACTCTTACATTTGAAGAATGTTCTCTCTTTTTTTTAGTCGTATATGCAATTTACCCCCTCGTTGGTGGCTCCACCTTATCGTGGTGAGGGGGTTTGAGTATGCCAAGGACCCTGAGAGCTATACCAGCGGTAGCGTAGCTACTGGCAGGGCCTCCCTTGCTGGACAGGTCAAAGGGTAGGCATCAGACGAAGAGAGACACCAAAAACTGATGCCGGAAGCAGCGTCATCAGCAGCGACTTGAAGCACAGAGTAAATAATGCTCGAGATGGTTCAAGTTCGTATAGCAACAGGCGTGACCAGAGTGGTTTGAACGCCTATTGTACTGCGATGTGGAAAGCAAATGGAAAAACTACCACATTATCACTTTTCCTGGATAGTCTCTTTCCAAAACCAGAGATACCATGTATGCGAGATGTTTCATTTGAAGGAGAAGGCTCTGGATCGCATCAGGTGGAGGAGCTGTTTTGGAGGAGACTGTGGACCTGTCGTCTTGACGGATTACTGATGAATGAATGAATGCAATTTACATGCTGTCTACTTATCCTGAAGCGATTATTAAGTGCAATGTTTGCACATACTATTTCTGTGTAATACGGAAACATTTTTCTTATACATATTGTGGCGTGCCGCCTAGGGCCGGAATATTTGGAATCAGAACGCATCCATTGCTATACAACTGCTAGCAATTCCTAGGCAGCGAAGCCTAGGAAATCGTTGCCCCGGAAATAAAAGTCTAACAGCGGAGTTTCCACCGTTACACACGAATTGTTTGAGGCAGACACGTATTCCCGCGTTCGTTGCGTAACAGCGAGCGGAATTAACCCTTCATACAAATTATTCCCTATTCAGACCGAGGGCAACGTCGGCCAGAGACCAGCACAGTTTATATTCAACTTTAGCAGGAAAGAGTGTTTATCCGACGAGAGCAGAAGTGTTGTAACATTGGAGAAGAAACGTCTGAAGTACGTTATAAGTGGAGAATAACTACATGTGTGTGTAAAAGTGACTGTTCAATAAAGGTATTCATTCAAATCCGAGGACCCACACAGTTTCTTATCGCGTTGCGTAGCAAACACGCGACAATATATATAAGCAAAACTAGAAAATAATTAGTTGCTATTATAAATATCTATTACTAATTATTTAATATTTATAGTCCGACAAGTAGTTAACTATGTATACCA